ATTCAAAAGTTAAGTTATAAGTGAAAATTACTAAATTACCAAGACAATTATGTTTGATTAATTTGAATAAATTTATGGAATATAAATATGTATAATCTTTTCTTAGTTTTATAAAGATAAAACTTATCAAATTGCTCGCAGAAAACAAATTATATCTTCGATCAAGCTACAGTTTGTAATTGCGTTTTAAATGCAACAGTAATCAATCCAGCTTTAAATACAACAGTAACAGATCCAGCTTTAATTGTATATGGCGCTTTTTTTACTTATTCAATTTATTTACATAACGGTGTAAAACATCTTATTTTAGCTTCGATCAGAAGCAGATAAACTCAATTGGAAACCTGATCAAATACCCGTTCAACCTGATCAAAATTTGCCTTTGTTTTCTTTACGATACATCTCCGAATTCGTGATAGCCTTGATCTTTCGTACGTCCACGAGTGAGTATTGCTATCATATACAATATATAACAAGACGAAGGAGACGAGCAAATTACGGAGATTAAGTGCCCTTTGTCACACTTTCGCGATGCGGGATGTCTCATCGCGGCGAGGAGAGAAACGAGTAGACAAGTAAGGAATTGCAACGTGTATCGTGATTCATTCCTAATGTATTTCAACGTGTAGCTATGTTAAGAAATGGTAAAATGCGTTAACTGATACACCGTCGAAAACATTTTTCTTTAAATTTGATTGTAATATATTTATGTGATCAACTGCTTCGAATTACCAAAGTATAAAGTACCAAGATTTTAATAATCTTTTATATACAATAATATTATAATACTATTACAAGTTGTTTTAATAATTATTACATTTTAACGGTCATGCGTTTTATTTCATAATACATTATTATACTATATTATATTTATTACTTTATTTTGTAATTGTACTTTTTAACCATCGCTCGATTGATGTTTAAATAATTATGATTTCGGTACGTTATATTATAATTTTTCACTTCGCGGATCTAATATGCCTACGGACGAGCATTAAATCATCGCATGATCCAGCATCAGCTTCATGATCAAGAAGATAGACCGGACATTGTTTTAACTTCCACGTGGCCCGGTTAGCTTAGTCGTACACATTTATGCCCCTAGGACGATCCCTAAACTCAAATTAGCCTTGAATTCTCCTTAATCCGAGTCTAACTAACTGTGTGTGTCACGCTCGCTGCATATGTGCGAGAAGAACGGGCGATGAGTGGCACACATCTTTACGAAACGTTGCGGGGGAGAACACAACTCCCACCAGGGTGACATACACGGCTGCGCCGTAATCGTTTAAAAGGTTAAAGCCCTGTTTGATACTTCGGGATAGATATATTTTTTCTCCTTCTTCTACTTCTTTTCATTTTCCTGTGAAAATCTATGTGGAAAGTTTCTCTGCGTCTGTTTCAGCAGACAATCCGTCTGCAACATACGATTGAGACGGCACGAGGATAGAGAAGAGAGAAAAAAAATTCAGTCATCCACTGCCGATAATAATATTGATCTAAAATAAATTTATATTTAACTATTACTTGTTTATAAAATAAACTTGACTCTTATCAAACTAAAAAAATTAAAATTGAATAAATCTAATTTAAAATAATTCTACATACGCAGAAAGAAAATTTAATCTACATTTAATACAAAATCAAATTTATTTAAGGTTTACTTTTTTACTTTTCGAGCTTTTTTGCAATTTTTCACTGGTCATGATGCCATCTTGTCAAGAGAGATGTATTTTAATTTTACGAGTAAAGATAAAGTACAATAAATCTCAGTAAGTACATAGGGAAAATAGTCCAGCTTTGATTACAACTCATTTGAAACGGATACTACTTTTATCACGTATGGTACTTCAAATGCCCTTACTCTACATTTAAAAGAATACTCTGTTCATTAAATAACATTCGTACGCTTGTATTGTCGTATGTATACGGTGCTTAGAACGAGATCGCAGCTCATTGCTATAATTACGCGACAGATGCACAGGGGTATTTAAAGCGACACGCTCGTAAAAATTCTAATTAAACACCCGCCTGTAATGTATTGCATTACACAAAGCGGCACACCCGTACAAATTCTAGTCAAACATTCGTCCGTAATATTGCATTACACAGTTCGTGGTTTCCCTGTCAGGCTTCATTACACGCGTGGTTTCACCCTCGACGAATGCGCTTCCATGCAAAAGACTGCACTCGTACCGTATAAGCGACAGAAAGGAAAACGAAGGGAAAAAAAAGACAAGTACCTCGGTTGGAATCCGATTCTCGCGTTTCTATTCTGCGTCTGTTATTCATCTGATCGTATCGAATAACGATTGATTAGAAATGACTGAGAATTAATGTCAACAGATGCAAAAGCTTTAATTCCCTTTTATTAGTGCAATATATAAAATTATGTTAACTAAATATATGTAACAATAAGTAATATGAGGCAAATAGATTTAATTTTACATTTTTTATAAAAAAAAAAATCGTTATGAATATCAATATATGCAGTCCAAGAAATAAATTTCGGGATAAAACTGAACAACATATAAAGCGATAATAAGATATTGTATTATTAATACTTATACATCTTAAGTTTTCTATTTCACAACTTCTTTTTACTTATAATTATACCTTTTACTGTTTTTTTTCAATCAAGAAGAAAGTTATTTCAAAATTTCGCAAACAAGATAGTTTCCAGCGAGAACATTCGCGGTTAAATTGATTATAATAGCGTGCTAGTTTCCGCAAAGTTTCACGCTTTTAGCTGTTCAGGAAGAATGTACGGCATGTACTTCCGACTATTCACGGTTTACTTGCTAATGCAATAACGCCAGTTAACAAGCTAACACTTCCTCTCGTCAGGCGTAAGGACATGCACATTCGCTACGAATATTTATGGGGCTAATAAAAGCCACGCTGTACTCAATTAGCGAAATAGGCTTTAAATACTGGATTCGACAAATTGGTTATCATAGGCGTTTACCGAAGTAGATAATGTAACTTATATCGAGGAAGTGCACGACCGCAAAATTTTAATTTGAAAATTTAATTCTATAGTGAGAAAGGATACACTTGATAAGAAGGCAACAATAACGAATTCTTTTTGAAAGAAGAACTTTGTCAGCCACAGATTCATAGCAAAGCTATAAAGTGTATCAAAATCTGAAAGTTATCAAATATGTATGTGCGGATAATCCTCGAACTCACTTTATGGAATTTCGGTGCAAACGTGAAATTACATTCACGTTGGGAACGCTTCAAAATTCAATTTACGGGAATTACATATATATGTAACAAAATGATTGTTTCCTCAAACTTTAATCGCGAATTTCGTAAAACGCGTACTGGAGTATTCATAGATGAAATATTTCACTTACTGGAATACTGAAGAACGATTACGAGCTTTTTCCGAATAATAATAAAGTGAAAATAAAAAATTATAAATCCCTTCTATACGAAATAGAAAACAAATAAAATCGATTTTTATATTTATAGTATTGCTGTACAAATATATTGGATCGGAACAAAAGATCGTAGTGCTCTACTTTAACTGTGTTACTATATTCACAAATATTTTTAAATTTGACATTTAAACCATTCGATAAAACAAAGTTTTAGTTTAAAAAATAATCTGTTTTTTTAAATTGCGGTATACGTGTGAGATAACGTTTGATGGAGTTATGATTAATATGTTCCTTTTATTTAATCTGCGATAACTCAATAACATAAAAAGGAACATTTAAAAAATTAATTTTATAGAAAAAAAGTTTTTACATAAGAAACTAAAAAATTTTTACAAATTCTTTTTGAACATGTGATAGGCCCACAAAATTAAAAAAAATTCCCATTTTGTCGTAATTTTTATATGTAAAAATGATTAAACTTGCAGGAACTGAAAAGATATAATAACCTTTCAAAAGTAAAAATTTTAACACTTGCACTTAACAGAATCAGACGAGTAAGTAATAATGTTCCCGTTTTCATACATTTTACACAATTTCTACATTCACATAAAAATAGGAGAATCATTTCTCTTCAAACAAATTATCATACCAGCACAATACCACACCATGTCGCTTTGACCGTAAGATTATGCGTTTATCTCGTTGACATCGAAACATCTTTATGAATCGCTAAAGAAGGATCTCTCTCTGTGTCTAAAACGTTCGATATTATTTTTATACTTTTATATATAATATTTTATATTTTTATTTCATGTTTGTTCTTAATAATATTGTAAACTATAAATTTATTAATTAAACATCTTATTACCGCTTGATTTAGACTGTTTTTTCTTTATACTTTGCATTGCAAAAAACGAGCAAAATCTAATTAAAAATTGTAAGCTTGAAAATTATTTTTTAAATTTAAATTTTATTTATTTTTTATAGAATTACAGCTGCTTGAATTTTGATGTAGCGCGCTATGAACTTTTGTTTCAACCCTCAATAGAACTTTCTTTGCGATGATTTCCCTTCATTGTGATTTTTGTTAATTAACCGTTAACAATAATACAAAATATCAAAGAAAGTAAGACTAAACAAAAAGTAAAATATTACATAGATCGATATAAGCGAGAAAAATAACTGATATCTTTCGTTATATCAAGTTTGTGAAGTTGTGAAATTAATATCGCATTTGTATACAATTTTATTATTATGTAATTAGATAGTTTTAACTTTGCCTCAAATGGTCTAAAAAAGTATAACAAAATTCGAGAAAAATTGTTAAAGTTAAAATTAAAAAACAAGCCAACTTACGTTAACAAAAATTCATTTCAATTTTCTATTATTTCAACCAGAATCAATGTGTAATATTTTCCTAACCATCTTCTACCATTTCGGACTCCTATTTTTTACATTCCTTTTGAAATACATGAAGAAATTTTCGTACGTTTTTATAGAAAAATTAAGAAATTTATTGATTGCATCGAACTTTCGTAAATGTGGAATAGTACTTAGATTGTAGAGAGATTAAGTTCAAGAACGGTATATAAGAATTTCCAAAATACTTACTTAATAACGCCAAAGCTAAATCCATGTATATCCAGCGTAACCTTTTGCAGATAGTCATGATTTTTTCGGATACAGTAGGAGACGTTGTTATGTTGTTGGTGTTCTCCGCTATTTCCTCCGCCAACGTTATGGTACTGCACCTTGTCAACTGCTCTGTGGAGCTCTGAAGAAAAAAAAAGAATGTGTCAGAAGATTAAAATGAGTGAAATATGGGCATACGAAGTATCTGAATGGAGGTTCAAGATAAAATACTCTTTTATCAAGGGAGTGAAGTCTAAGGAAAAAAATACATCGCAATTATCTGGATTGATTAGTCTAAGGCACGTAGCACCGTGTTCGTGAACAGTTAGTATTAGCGTTTAGATGCCTTTTCGTTCTGCTGCCCATTGCCGCCTTTTGGTTGATCTATTCTTCTTTTCCCTTGAGTTTCAATCCCGCAGCGTTATTATGTTCCGTCCAAGTATTTCGTACCCCCATAAGTCAAACACATATTTGTACCATTTAAAATGTGTTTAAAAATATCAAATGCAAAATAATCAAAAATGTCCTAAAAAAAAAGTTATATAAAGCAGTATTTACCACTTGTTGTTTTGAACAGTAGATTTTGAAACATAAAAGTTAAAAATTAACCAGTCATAGTAAATTATAGTTAAATTTCATGTGTACCTGTGAGTCATTCGTCGATAATATTGTAGGCTCGATTTTTCATTTTCTAGTTCACTACTTATGGTTAAACTTAATCTGATGATATTGTAAAAATTGCATTTTTCATTTAGTGATTAATTATAGTTAAAAAACATCATTTTTTTCATTATTATTGGATTAAATCTAATCATAATCACAAAATGGAAAACCGAGCATAATACCGACAAATGATTCGTAAACAAACGGTCATAATCTGTAATTTAACCGTAATCTATAATTGGCTAATTTTGAATTTTCATGTTTCAAAAATTATTGTTCCAAAGTCCAAATGACAAGTAGCAAATATTCTTTTATAACTTATTTTACAATTTCTTCTGATTGGACTCAAATAAATTTCAGAATATTCTGTAAATTGAGTTTCGTAGTAGCTTTTAAAGTATAAAACCATTAGTTCAGTAATTAATCATAGCTATAAAAACACAATTTTTAGATTTTCATCAGATTAAGTAAGGTTAAATCTAAATTAAAAGTTAACCAGAAAATAAAAAACTGGATTTTAAGCCCGTCACACCACGCATTAGAGATTGAGAGTTGTAATATTAATAGAAATTATATGTGTAATTCAATCAATCAGAATGAAACGGATTAAAATTAAAATTATCCAACTGGTTGAATTCTAATCTCTTTAATTCGCAATCCTCAACTTCAATACGTAATATGACACGGGCTTTTAATGATCACGCACTTCACGTCCTCACAGATATCAGACAAAAGATTGTGTGCGTACCGTCTATCTCTATGTGATACTATAATATTGTGTCATAATATTTGTTGCGTGTTAGTTTTAATAAACAAACGTAACGAATAACACATTTGTACTTTATACATTTATAATTTATTAAAATTATACATATTTCACTACTATGTTACTAATTTTTGTATGATAATCAATAGGGTTTATAAATAAGATAACATATGAAACTATTTCATTACAATAATTCTAATCTTTTTAATTTTATATCTCTATTCTTTCATTCTGTTTAGTCTTTAATTACACGGAATAATTTATAAAAAATTTTAAAAATTACTTTGTATCAATATCCATTTATTAAGTAAGTTATTAAAGTAAACAATTCTTGTATTTAAATAATTAAATACTTTGAATGTTTAAATTATGCATTTCAATTCCCATTAGCGATGACTCGTACAGCTCACATGAAGATTAAAATAATAAACAGTTTAAACATCTAAAGTATTTATATTGATTTTTATCGTTCGCATTATAATTTTTATTTTTATAAATTGCGTAACGTCCGTCGCTTTTCGCTTTTCGAGATGTACGGCTGCCGTTAAAAATGTTCAAAATATTCTATATTCAATTAGTTTAACAAAAATTTGTTTACATATTTATTTTTATTTTTAACTTACACTAAATTTATCTCTAATTTCTTTCTTTAAAAAAAAGTTAGCGTCGCGGATAGTGACGGCCGCCGTACATCTCGAAAAGCGGCGGACGTTATAAATTGTCAACTGTATTAAATGTATGACTATCAATAATTTTAATAATAACTAACTATAATAATACTCAAAATATTCTATATTCAATTAGTTTAATAAAAAATTTGTTTAAATATATATGTTTATATATTTATTTTTATTTTTTACCTACAATAAATAAAAAGAAAAATTATTATTACTTATGTTAATTTACATAAAAAATTATGTAAACATCACATTTGAATATGCGATACTCACGATACTTTTTGAACCATCACTATCTCCACATCTTTATACGACTAATCCCGATTTTACCACAGATAGACCAAACTTCAACGGTTTTTTTTCCATTGATATGTGAACGCTTTTTTTCGGTGATAAATAATTTTTTCCTAACTCTAATAGCCAACTTTTAAAGTTACAACAATAATTTTAGGAAAAAAATGTCTTGAAAAAATGCTATGCCAAAAGAAACGGGATATATGAAAAGAGTCATTTATGGCCTAGAGTTTTTAATATGTAAGCTGAAGTAAAGAAAATAAGTTCGACGATAAAATGCAAACTTATAAAATTAATATGCAAGGTAGTAGATTAAATATATTGGAAAATCAATCTCTTCCGTCGATATTCGGTTTTAGAGCAAAATACATAAGAGAATTTTATTGTCCAATTTTCGAATTAAAAAATTTTGCGTGTGCCTGCGTAGTTAATAAATTTTTCGATTTAATTCAAGAATTATTTCGTTATAATAATTTTAATTTTTTTTATTTTGTATCTCTTAATTTCTCTTTAGGCTGCATTTCGTTATTGTACGTGAGTACTGAAAATTTATAGTATTTGTAACGTGAACTATAGATTTTTAGTACTGGAATAACGGAATGCAACTTAAAGAAGAATCAAAAATAGATATATACAATTAAAAAGATTATAATAATGAAATAATAATTATATTATTAATATTATTATTTTATTATTATTATTAATATTATTAAATAATATTATTAAATAATATTAATAATAATAATAAAATAATAATTGACATCAATAATGTGTGTACATCACATTTGATTAAAACTTAGATTAGATTAATTTATTCAAATCTTATTTACATGTATATATTATATTATTATGAAATTGAAAATTTCAAGGACTCTTTTATATAATATTATAATAATAATCAATACATTAAACAAAGGCGAAGTAAGAGTCAAATTATAATTAAAAATCTAAATAACTCTGATAATTTATTCTAATATATTGCGAAGAATATCACGTAATTTTTGGCGTTTCGTCCCGGTTTCCACTACTGGACTCATCAGTAAGGCATTGTAGTGGAAGCCTACTTTATACGCCTTGGTAAAGTTATTAAATCGAGATTCTATATAAAGACTTATATACGCGTGTCTCAGCACTTACGAGAATTTGCGAATATCGATAGACCTCTGATGGCGAATCGTCGTAGTAATATTCTTCGCAATATTTATCCAAAGTAAAAGAAATAACGTTCTATTAATATATGTAGTCCCCCCAAATTGCGCATCGAACAATTGTTGGTCTTGCAACGCAACTCTAATAATCTGAAATGTCCCCCCTTTTATGTGATATTCTTCGCAATATATTAGAATAAATTATCAGAGTTATTTAGATTTTTAATTATATTTTGACTCTTACTTCGCCTTTGTTTAACGTATTGATCATTATTATATAAAAGAATTCTTGAAATTTTCAATTTATTTTTTTCAAACCGCAGGCTATAATAATGCGAAATTATTATAGCCTGCGGTTTGAAAAAAATAAATTGAAAATTTCAAGGATTCTTTTTTTTCAAATTATAAATTTATCTTATTTGTTACACTAATAAATATGATGTTGTTAAATAATCAACTAATTCGCAACAAATGCGGTATCATGCTGACGCACACAATTTAATGTTCATGAGACACGTGTCCGATCACTATCGACGTTGGTACTCATCGACGGATGGTAATCGTAATCTATAATTATACATAACTAGTTTTAAGTCTTTATTTCAAAAGCTTATTCAGAACGATAAACAGCAAATATTCTGTTACAATTTTTTTTCGAGAATTTTCTTGTTATGATGCTTTGAATTTTAGAATTCTGTATGATAAAACATTGTGTATGTAGGTACTATATAATAAAATATAAATCACTCTATATCTATTCGCAGTATATTACTTACAATTAGATGATCAAACTGATCGGCCAACTTGATTACGATTTATATACGTCGAATAAGTTGTGTTACGTTTATATGCATAATGCGTGACTTCATCAAAGTTCAAAAGACGGGGTGAGTTTTCTAATAACGCGCGCGTCGACGGATTGAGTAACATGATACATGAGTGTTGCTACATACCGATTCGCGATATACAGTCGCGTCGGTTTTCCACCGCAAGCCACAGACGTATGAGATGCAAGCGGGTTATTCTTTTTTTTTTTTTAATAGCGGTGCGTATTTCGTAAAGTGATCCCCTATTTACAGATCGCCTGTTTAGAGGACACAACTTAATCGAATTACGCTTTGTCGGAAAACATAAAGCAGCTCATTTCGTTAAGGTCAAAGTACATAGAAGAATGTAAGTAGTAAGACGTAAGCAGGAAGTTAGAGCCAGACTAGATACGCAACATTTTATTCAAACTTATAAATCTTTACACAATTACGTAATAATCATGTTTATCTGTGTATCGTGATCTTTAACCATATTACTACGATATTATGACAGGAGCAATGATAATTATTTTATCATAGCTTGCGTATTAAAATTCTTAATCGCCATTAGAAAAAAAATTATATTCTTGTCACAAATAGATTAACAGGTCGTAGATGTTGGGAATTTTATCACGCTGTTTGAACGATGAACAGGAACCAACCTCTTAACAGCTTCTAACCGCCCTTGGCATACTTGTCGCCCCCAAACATTAAGCTTTGTTACATCTGATGCGATATCATGAAATCGGTATTTGTTAACGCAGATAACGTTTATTTTTTTTAAATTA